GGCCTTATTATCAGCAACGTCCGTGTTCTCACTGTTTCGGATCCCTGACGGTCATGTAGTTTTAAAAGATGCATGAATAAAATAAAAATTATCGAACGAGACAATATATTGTACATAATAAGTATGTTGCAGATATTAAATTCATCTAATATTGATTTACATAATATTTTCTAAATAAGTATATATTTTTTAAATATATCTGTCAAATAAATGTTTACAAAAATAGTGGCTGCATTCAGCGGAGAAAGCAGCTTTGCAACTGTGTAAAAATCTTTGATTGATTTTTGCCATTAGTTTCTCATGGATCTAAATGTATAAACCAATCGTATTAATGGATTTTACAACAGTTGCAAAGTTCTTCTGCTGAACGCAGTCAATTTGACAAGCACGCATCAGATATGTTGAACACACGTTGGAACGTGCACGTGACCTCGTCGTTCGCGCCAAGATTGTTTCGAACGTTTGTTTGCGGTTTTGGTACAAACAAAATATTCGCGCGAGAAATCGACGTACTTCATGTCGAATGATAGTGGAGAAAGATTCCTTACCGATTAGGAAAGTGCGGAGGCGGACACGCAGACAGCTCACTACGAGGTTAGAAAAGACATAAACGGTGCGAAAGTATATGTATGTCGCGTGTATAACAAAATCGCATGCGTTGCATTCTATAGATATCGATTAATGATTGTGATTTGTGTAATTGTTATTGTGCTAGGATCATTTATATGCGCATTATTGAAAACCGAGTTCGACGACTGGTTCGCAGATTTAAGGTAGGCAGCATCCACCAGGTGTCACGAGCATTTTATAGGTTAGCTTTGTGATTCAAACATATTGACATGAACCTATCTTGGCTGATTTAGCAAAAATTTAATGTTATCAAGAATTTTTGCATTTTTACATATTGTGCTCGATAAAAAGACGTTTTGTTTGTTTATTCATTTATCTTCGTTATCTTTCAGCATGAAGAAGTTGTCTTTGAAGAGAGACCACAATAAAATAAAAGACACTTTTGATTTAATAGAGGTATCAGACGATGATGATAGCTTATCGCAGGATATACAAAAATGTAATAATAATAGTAGTAATACAAGGCAGCACATGGATATATCAAGCCATAAAACACTTAAAATTTCAAATAGCATGACAGATGCTTCGAGTCCTAAATATAACTCGAAACATAATATATCAGATGATATAAGCAGTGATGAAGATGTTATTGTTGTTGATGACGTTCCTGATACTTCCAGAAGAAGCCAATCAATGTTTAATTGGGATAAACCAATTTTTGCCAGTGCTTCGTATTCAAATATTTTTTTTGAAAATAATATCTCATCTGATTCAAAATTTAACAAAGAGTTGTCTCTAGAGTCACCAAACAAGAGACAAAAAATAATAGAAGACTCGATAAGCTCTGACTCTGACTGTAATTTTGATGACAAATTGATATCCCTAAACACTTTTAATAAAGAACCACCTTTGGTGGAAATACAACATAGCATAATGATAGCAGGGACTAATGTCAAATTTCCTGTCAAGCCATATAGCTGTCAGATCGCAGTGATGAACAGTGTAAGTATTATGATTGTATAGTTAAGTTGATTGCATAATTAAATTTCATCACAATTTTATTAATTATATTGAATTTGTATATATAGCTCATTGTAGGATGTAACAGAGAGCAGAATTGTCTTTTGGAAAGTCCAACTGGCAGTGGCAAAACCTTGGCACTTCTTTGTGGAGCTTTAGCATGGCAACAGCAATATAGTGGTGAGCTTATAACATTTTTATTATTATTATTATATAACAAGAATAAAAAAAACAAAGTTTAGTATATCGCATTGCCGAAATTTTCGCATTTTTTTTCTAAACATTAATGAGATTATTTCGTGTCGTGATTAAATGATTATAAGATAATCTGCGGATTCTCAATTAGTTTGCGCGCCAAATTATGTTAAAAATCCGCATGTGTGCTTAGAGGGCTGGATGATGCATGCCGTCGCGCGATCCATCATATAATATTCATTAATTTCCTGCCAATCGTGCTCGTGCAGCGTTTTCCGCGTCGCGATTATGTCTGTCCCCGAGATTTATCGCGGAGCTTCGCGAAAATCTCGTTTCGTCGTCGTGCTCCGTCTCGTGACGGCCGGTCGTTAACGTCAACCGTCCTAGCGATTTTTGTCTCGCTATGACACGCACGCATACACGCGCGCCGACCGATTGCTCTCGTCAGATTTTCGGAACTGCCATTTTTGGAAATTGGAGGAAATTTTGGAAATCGGAGAGCCGTCACTCGTCGCGCTTGCCTCTTCTTTGCCTCGCGGCAGAGCTTCGTTCTTATTAAAGTTTCTTGTAGTTCGTCGACGTTTTACTTATCTCGTCAGAACTTTAAAAGTTTTCCAGATAATTTCTAAACATGCGTCACATATTTCTCGACGCGATATGCGATTTGTCGCCCTCATCGACCGATTAATCGCGATCTTTATTTCATATTAATGTTAATGATTTTTATTTTCGAAAAGCGCATTGAAAGAAAAAAAAAATCTGTGAAAATTCTACATTTTTTTATAAATAATTTTTACAGGCATGAAAGTGTACGCATTCACGTTTCAAATGGTAGATTTATTTATCGGTATTTGGCGCGTAGCTCGTTAATACGGGTAAAATTAAATATTGCTTTGCAAACGTTAATTTATATGATTTTCTTTCAACGAAAAGACAGATAAAAATTAAATTTCGCGGATCGTAAATATTGCTTAATCAATTTTCACGTATAAGCGTCGCGTTATGCTGGTTTTGAAGCGTGTTTAACTGCAGACAGAAAGAAGGCGCGCGGACCCCCTCGTTTCCTCGCCGAGAAAGCCATTTCGATCGTTAGCGGTTTCTTGTCTACGATATTAATTTAAATTATTCAACCGTTTATGTGCACCGCCATAATAATCCTTACGATCATGGAGTCGTCGGTAATTTCGAGTTTGCACGCGTGCATGCAGCTAATTGTTCGCGATCCGTGCATTTCTAAACAATTAGATTTGCCTTCGCAAATGCGCGGTGTCCCGTACCGTCCTCGGTCGTACCAGCCTACGAAAAACAGCGGGACAGCCGAGCATAATCGCCTTTCGTTAGTATAATGCGACAAGAACGTAATTTCGTTCAATGTCGCGTCCGCGATAGCCGCTTTCACGTACGTTATTCCATCTATATATAGCGATAAGATATTGTCATTTATCTTTTTAACAGATGCCGCCAATAATGTGACTTGCACTGGCTGACACTGCACAGAAAAAAAGTAGTCTTAAGTATCAAGATACATATTCTCTTATATAAGCAAGAATATTATAATCTTCTTAGAAAAATTTTAATATTGATATAAGTGTAGATATGCTCATGTTTAAGCAAGAATATTATAATTTTTATATAGAAGATTTTTAAAATCTTGAGTTGAGCAAAAGTAATACTTGCATCAATACAAATTCAATTAAATCAAGAACAAAATTTTTAAGAAAATTATAACTCTTGTTTATATATAAGAATATTTTTCTTGATTTAATTAATTTTTTTTTCTGTGCGCAGCATTATGATATATTTCAAACAGTCTTGCAACTTGCATTTTTGTAAGGAATTTTTGATTTGGCGAATAAAAATGTGACTTTTATTTTTATGTTATACATTACTCATATTATTCATATATTGATATTGCTCGTAACACACAATCGTAAACCCGACGAAAGCGTTCGCTGTTTCACCGAGATGTAGTTTTCTTGGTCCTATCTAGAGTCGTATTATCGTTCGCGATGCAGGATCTATTACCCCATCAACAATCGATGACGCTGCTTATTCCGTCGAAAAGTTTGACGACGGAGACGCTGCTATAGTCGGAGTTTCCACCAGAAAGCAGCTAAATTAGCCGTTCGCAAACTCGGTGGGTCGGTCGATCGATGTGATTGCCATCTTAATATTCCGAAAGAAAATCATGACTGTCAATCGATTGAGAAACAATCGCGAATGATTGGAAAGTAATATTCGAGACTATTGCTTTCTGAATTTGAATAATTCATTTTCAGTTTGGGACCTTTTTTTTTCTGATATTAACTCGATTTCAGTGTCCCCAAATTGCCTTTATGTTACGTGAGTTGGAGTTCGCGGATAATGTTAAGCATATTTATCTGCAATTCGATGGCAAGCTATTTCGCGTAGTTGTAACGTCGGCTGAAGTGCATATTGCGACAATGAGGCTGGAACGTCGCGAGGTATTCGACGATCGCGTGCCATTTCGAGCTGTACGAGCAACGAATTAAATGTTTCGCGATGTTAACGTCAAATTTGCGTGAGCAACGTCGGATTTGCTGCTTGTGCGAGGACGACGTAGAACGGACAGGATGTCTCTAGGAATATACCGAGGAGGACAGCACGAACCGTCGTCGCCTTCCGGAATTATGGACGCACCCTCCCCGAGCCTCGTCCTCGTGACATCTCGTCACAAATCGAAAATTGTCAGACACGCTTTAAACGTTTTTTTTTTTTCTTACTTTAATATTCTTATGAAAGAACAGCCAAAGCAGTTGTGGCATTTATAATAATGATATTTATTATAAGAATTCCTTCATCATTTTTATTGTTAAAGAATATATGTTACGTGTCTATTATGCGATAAAATAACGATATAAAATTGAAATTGGTGTTTACTTTATTATGATAAGAGCAAATAAATGTACAATTAATAAATATACACTAAATAATACAATTAAATAAATATACAATAATAAATATAAATATACAATTAATACAATAAATAAATATACAATTAATTATAGGTGAAGAAAAAGAGTAAAAAGAGTTCTTTTAATTTTAATATAAAAAAATTATTCTTAAATCAAGACTATTCTCATGTATAAATAAATTAAAATTTTTAAAAAAGATATTATAATATTCTTATTTATATGAGAATATTTTGTCTTGAGACTAATTTTTTTTTCTGTGTACTTTAGACAAAATTATAAAAATCTAGATCACAGTTTCTATATTCCTAAGGGAATATATATGAATATATATATGAGTAATAATGTCGCGCTTTACGCGTTGCGTTAAGTGAGAGTAGGAAATATGGTCTTGATGAAATATTAGGCAATTATCTATTATTATACGATCCGCTTTTAGTTCGTCGATGCGCTAATTAGGCAAATCGGACTGGAGCGACTCGATGGGAATTAGTCATGATACCGATTTTCGTATACGTGTAACACGGATACGTGCGTAGGTGTGCCGCTTTGCACGACATCCTGCTTTTCCCAGTTATAATTTGCTTTATGCTTTAAACCTGGCGCTGTCACGCTTTGCCGGAGGTCGAGTGGTACTGCTAGCCGCCAAACTGTAAACTTAGCTCGTTGGAGAGCCGCATAAATTAGGTCCTCGAAAGGGAATAGAGAATTTTCTAATGTCGCGGTTTAATCGATACCGCCTCGTTGCCGACGATTCGCCGGACGCTTGCTTTGACGTTTAGTCTCCTATTAAAAAAAGGCAATTAATTTACTTAGACATAGCTTAAGCCGAATGGATATTATCAACTGTGACATAACAATAAAATATTTCATTTCTAAGCTCGAGAAAAGAAGGAACTATTAGATATATGGATGTCGAATAATACATACATATATTCGGAGAGATCGGTGTTGATGGAAAGAAAATGCGAATCTTGAGGAGTCAAGCCGCAGCCACTTTGTTTGGCGGGCCGCAAGCCAACTTGCGAACCGCATGTTTTACGTGCCAGCCATAGCGTCCGATTAGCTTGACGTAACATTCACCGGAGAATTCGAAAAACTTAAATCATTCGTAGAAAGGAAGAGCGTGATGCGCCGCGCCGGTAGGGAGGAAGGGACATCGAGAGGGCTGGACGAATAAATTTCGAAAGTTTATCGCGGAATCGCATGCCGGCTAATGTCACTTTATTACCGGTAGAAGACGACGGCGACGTGGAGACAGGCTCGCTACTCTCTGTCTAGGGAGGGGGAGGGGGGGGATTCGGGGAGTAGGCCGCGGGAAGAATAAGTTCGAAATAACCGGCAGCGACGAGACACGAGATTGTGCAGCAGGAAACTTGGGAAGTCATAATAATTATCGGCGAACGCGGAATTATATATTGTGTCCTCGTGGCAGCTTGTCGTCGTCGTCGTCGTCGTCGTTGTCGTCGTGTCGTCGTGTCGTCGTCACCGCGAATTGTCTTTGCGCCTCAGCATGCAACTCCAGCAGAATATGCAGCTACGTGCCCTGTGACGTCCTGACATTAATAATGCGCCGGGGATCCGCCTTTTATGCCGAAGGTACCAACCGTGGTACCATCGCCGGGGACTCTTCCCAGAAGGAGCTCGTCGATCGTGCCGTTTCGCTCTTGCATGATCCGCGTTCTCGCGGTCTCTTCTGATTATCTGGGTGGCTCTTAAGAGAAGCAACGCTGTCGCGTATCGGTTTAACATAAATTTTACTTAATTACGCAATCACCGTGCTTAAATAAATTTTATTGCGATTAACAATAGCGATCAATGATTCTCGGAGCAATTTTAATTGCGATATTTCTTGTAATTCTTTGTTCTTGAAATATTTTTTTCTCTTACGTTTCTTCAGGACGCAACTTCAGAATTATTAGGATATCAAATAAAGACGTCTTGTATGGATGGAAATCTTTTTGGAATTTGATTCTGAAATCGCGAGTATTGAAACTCTTTATCGTTCATTGTTTTATATATTTTTTTCGCGACTTGCGAGATACGCGAGGA